CAAATACTTAACTCTAGTCTGTCTTTGCAGGCCATTATTTCGGGGGGACAAAAGCCTTTGTAATTTAGACATGATTTTTGTTTGATGGCTGTCTATAAGGAAACAATGGGCTGAAAGAAAGGGCCTGTTGCTTTACCTAATCAACTTGCTCTCGGGAATAACTTTGAATATTAAATGAGAGTCTCATCTGCGTCTAATTAGACATCCTGCTACTCATTCCAGAATATCAATTCTCCTCATTGTGAAATGGGTCTGATTACTTTAAATCCAGCTTTGAATTAATTCTTTTAAACCAACATCCTGATGGTTTCAACTTGTTTCTAATTAAAACATTGAGTTGAATTTGATGATATCATTGTCATTTTGCTTATTCAACTTATTTGATATTAAGGGGAAAAAGTCTCTGGTTGCTTCCACTCAAGCAGAGTTTGTGCCTACCAAGTATGGGCCAGAGCAGCCGCCACACAGTTGTAGGGCTCACTTTGTTGGGTCAGCAGGAGAAGCCCCAGAGGAGCATGTGGCTGTTACAGTCTTCTGCCTCTAAAAGACAAACTGAACCACACACAAAACAAACCTGGCATCCTGGCCGGTTTGGCTCAACAGTTAGAGTGTCAGCCCACGGATCAGAGAGGCCCGGGTTCGGTTCCCGCTAAGGGCATGTACCTCGGTTGCAGTTTGTCCCTGGCTCTGGTTGGGGGCGTGTGGGTGGCAACCACTCGATGTGTCTCTCTCACATTGATGTTTCTCTCTCTCTTCCTCCCTCTCTCTCTCCCTCTCTATCTGAAGATAAATCCTTGGGTGAGGATAAAAAACAACAACAACAAACCTGGCTAAGGCTGGTTGTCCTTGTGGCCCAAATGAACTGGATGATTAATCACTATTCAATAAACAGGAGGAAAGTGCCAGGTAAGGGCACAGCAGTGTCTCCTGTGGGCTAGGGTCAACAGGAGCTGGAAGACAATGCACTTCAGGGAGCAAAAGCCCTGCTTAGGATTCATGGGTTTGAATCCTGTCTACCACTCCCTGGCTTTGTGAATATGGGCGATGTTTCACTGAGCATGGGCTTTCTCATCTGTAAAGTAGAGCTAATAATAGAGCCCCTATTATAGTTGTTACAAGATTCAATGGGATAAGGCATGAGAGGACCTTGGCACAGGGTCTGGCTCACAGTAATCAATAACTATACCAGTCACTGTTGTCACTTCTCACACAGTCTCAGGAACTGAGACAGCCCTTGACTGAGGTGCACTGGCTTTTTGCTTCCCTTTGGTGGTACAGATCAGTGGTCTGGTGTGGAGGAGTCTGGGAGATGTTACCTAAAAAGCAAGAAAATTGCTTAAGGTTTGATTGCTTTCTTGATGACTTCCAGAAAATCTATTCAACTTTTCAAACAGAGGACAGGAAAACACTCTGAGGGCTCTACAATCAATATGATTCTTCCTTATGTGGGAGGGTGAGCATGAAAACTGATGGGCAAACTTCTTTGCCCAGAGAGTTTGGAGAGTTCCCAGCCATGGTTCTTTGGCAGACCAGATGGAAAGTGATGATGAGGAAGAGATATGGATGAAGGGGGAGGGGAGGTTGGAGCTGTGGCAGGTTTTCCTGGACATTCAGCTGGGGCATAGCTGACGTTCCTGAGTCCCCTCTGAATTTCCTCAGCATCCCCTCCTTTGCTGCCTCTCTGTCTTTGTGGGCTGTTTCCTCACACATGAACACAGCAGGCCACAGGCCACAGGACGTATCAGAGCTAGGGTGGAATCAGCACTTCCTATTGCTCTCTGAGAACAACTTGCAATTTGCTATGAGCCCTCCCAGAACTGGCAGAGGTATTATTAGTCAGGGTCATCTCCTTCGAGACTGGATGAATGCCCGTTGGGACGCCCCTAGAGCCTGCTATGTGACCCTCTAGCATAGGGCTTAGACAATTTCAGGCAGCATCCTCATCTCCCTTGTAGACTGGGAGTTTCTAGAGGGCTGTCACCAGTATTCAGCAGTGTGTGGCACACAGCAAGTGACATGTAATGAAACAGTGGCTGAGTGTGTGAATGAACTCTACTCTTGAGGATGAGGGATGGCACTTTCTCACCCCCCACCTCCCATGCTTATCGTGGAGCTTTGCATGTAGTAGTAGCTTAGTGAATAAATGCAGAAAGCACATTCTCAGGGAGCTCTTCAAGACTAACAGTAATTTGCAGTGTTTGAATACCTCGTAAATGCTATTACAGGTTTCTGGAGGTTTTCACAAAGAAGCATAAGACACAGTCCTTGGCTTCTAAGAACACAACTTGTTAGATGTTCAAGTTAAAACAAATTGTTAAACTGTAGTACAAGTCATGTCTATTGGAGGATAGGGTTCAAATCATCTGCAGAAACATAGGCAGCCTTTGTTCCCCGGGGACACATACTCTCCATTGAGGATGAGACAGTCACACATGACATCTCCATTCCTGCTCTCTGACAGACTGGGGTTTGAAGTCCAGCTTTCCTCTACTGACCGTCGATGCCTTCTAAACAAATCACCTGGCTTGTCTGGGTACAGCAGTGTGGGGGAGGTTGGAGATAGAGCATCAGGGCAAGTGCCCCGGCCAGTGCCTGGCACACTATAAGTAGGTGTTGTTACTGTTATTAAGCATCTAGTCTGTGGTCGGGAGATTCGATTGTGGAGGGAACACATGGGCCAGCAAGGCTGGAAGATGAGGTGTTGGTACTAGAACCAAAGGTGACATAGAGGAGAGCCCGCACGAGGGTGGGGAGGTGTGCACGTGGCTTGCTTAGAATGAGTGGAAGGGGGGAAGGTGAAGCCTGAAACGCAGATAGCAGTTCAGAGAATGCTGCCCAATCCCATGGTGGATGGAGGCCTTTGTATTGGTGGGGTAGGGTGGGGTGGGTGGGGGTTTGGGAGCTGGGGATGGAGGGTCTGTCAGCTGACTTCCTTACATTGGTGTCTCCCTCAAAGCCCAAGCAAGGGCTCCTGGGGAGAAGGGTCAGCCTCTGTTCTTCACTGCCCTGTATGCACCCTCCTACTGGGGATCTGCTCTATTGGTTGGTATCTGGGCTTCCTTCTCCAGTTTCCCTTCTTTCTCCACAATGAGGGGAAAAGCAGGACCAACACCGGATGTTCATGGTCACCCAGGCCCAGCATGGCCTCAGTGCACCCTCTCCTGCTTCTCTGAGCAGGAAGGCAGTTAGGCTCAGCCATCGGAGCAGTGTGATGAATGACCTTGGGCAACTCTCTTAACCTCTCTGGTCCTTAGTTTCTTCAGAAATACATGTGGTGTAACAGTATTGCCAGGAGATGAGGCTGTGATGGAAGGGGCCTGCAGTGGCTCCCTGCTGAGGACATGCTAGGGCAGGATACTTGCAGTGCATCCCTGTAAGTGAAGACAGAGCCAGCTGTGCATGTCACTGGCTCCTGGTTCCTGGTATAGCCGACAAGAAGCGCAGATGGGTGGAGGCATGTCCCCTTGGACAGTCCTGCAATGTGGCAGACCCAGGTGGGCACAGACGGGCCTATCTTAGGTCCTGGTTGACTTGGATACAGTGAAACACAGAGCTGTGGGCAGTTTTTGCAAAGTGCAAGTAGCCTGGTCTTGTGCATATTAAAGGAGCTCACATTTACCAAGTGTTCACAGTGCCCAAGTATCCTGAGTGCTTTATGTGGCTTGCCTCTTTTAGCCTCAGAAGCTCCCATGAGTGTGCATTCATCATCTCTGCCTTGCAGAAGTAGAAACAGAGCCACAATATCTCCCCAGACAGCTTGGTTCTAGAGAGCCCCACAGCCTCTTGGTACTGCCCTCCCCTCCCTTAGCCCCACTGGAATCCTGGAGCCCTGGATCACAGGGATCCTGACTGGTCCCCCATCTAGTCTCTTCTCTAAATGGGGACCATAGTGGGACCCTCCAATCCTGAACCTGGCTGCACTGATGAACCTGCCCCAGGTGTGGGAGTTGAGCAGGGAGGAAGCGTTAGCTTTGAGGCCTGGCTTTCTGTCTCAGAACTGTATTGACAGGTATTTGGGAAACATCAGTTTTCCTTCCAGTACATCTGTCCTTATTTATTCAGGAAGTGGTAAACATTTGATTGTCATCCTGGCTTAATTAAATAAAAAAAAGTCAGTAGTCTAGAATTTTGGTATATTTCAAATGTATTTTACTACTTTTCCTTTTGTCTGAGAAAGAATATGAAACCTGCATGCAACACTAATAGTTTCTGACATTTACATAGCATACGACACAGCAGTACAATGTGGCCTACACTGAAGGGGCAGTGTGTGCTGGGGGCATTCTTAGAGCATATTTACAAAGGAAAGAGCGCATGGTCATCTTAGCTTCAAAAGAGGGCTGCACTGTTTAAAATGGAAGAATTACGTGAGGATCACAGGTGGATTGCTTTAGTACTACATATTCCATTGTGATGAGGGAAAGAAACATGCTTTGAAGGTTCTACCTCATCAATAGAATGCGTGTCTGTAGCTTTATACTGTGTGTGTATTCGTATATTTTTGTTTTCTCCTAAGGGTTTTGCTAACAATGTCGGGAACTTCACATGCTTCCGAAGCATTAATTATTGAAGCAGTAAACTTTCGCAAACCCTTAGGTTGGAGAGAAGACCCAAACCCTTCTTTAAACACCATTTGCTTTGCCATCCCAGGATTTTGGAAATGTTTCCTAAAGGGTGTAAAAATTAATCGGGGATGAAGCATGTGTCTCGGGCAGTCGAACTTGAATCCATAAAAGAACAGATGCAAAGAGATCTGTTCCTACCTGCCCAGTGACTGGGGCCACTGCGGAGTCCCCCTGTGGCTGTGACTGACCATGAGCCTAGGAGAGCCTGTGGCAGCTGTGCCGAGGCGCCAGAACCTCTGAGCGGAAACTTCCTGCTCTAGGAATGGAGCAACGCTGCTATGAAATGTTGCAATCAAGCTCCCTGTTCCTCCTAGGTGCTTATAAAGCTCAGATGTGTAGTGATGTCTGGACAAATACAAAAAAAAAAAAAAGGCATTTTTTTTTTTTTTTTAAAACAAAGGAAAGGCATGAGTCTCCAGCTTTTCAGTAAAAAGCAGCCTGTAATGAAGTCTGGAGTGCAAGAGAGATGGGTCTCACATCTGGAAGCTTTTCACGTACAACTATAAAATGTAAAAAGTGACCCTTGGTAAAAAATGCTTCATAACAATATATAATTTGTGTCTTATGCGTGCGAGAGAGAAAGAATTTGTTTTTTTAATCTGCCGTCTCCCAACCGGTATGACGTTTTCCCATCAGGATTTTTTCACCTTATTCTTCATAGACCCTGGGAAGAGAAAATACCCATGTAAGTGGCTCAGAACCTGACTTGGCAGTGCACAGGCTGTTGACTTTGCCCCTTCATTCTTGTCTTCAGTAGTGTTCTTTCCAGGATTGCAGGAGCTTGGGAGAAGTGGGGGGCATCTCAGAGGAGGCCATCATAAGGACCACAAAAGCTCACCTGAATCTGGCTTTGACTTTCTAAACAGCCTCCACCTCTGTAGTCTCATTTTATCCTCAGGGCCATATGAACACAGACCCTGTCTGTATATGAGGAAAAATGAGGCACAAGAGACTTATGGACATTGAATGTAGTGATGTGAAGGAGGCCTGTTCCAGCATGGGTGGGGGATAGTGGGAGGTGAGGCATCTCCTTCCTCAATTTAGGCTTGTAGTTTTCTCAAAGAATGCCTGTCCTCTGGAAAAACACCAGTTCTAGAGGCAGCTGCCTTGAGACTGAAGAGTGTGTAGTGGGGCTGGGGCTGTCATGGAGGCCTGTGGCTGGAGGTCACTTCCTCTAGTAGTTAACAGGCCTGTGTCCATTTATAGGCTGACCATTTCTCCTCATCCCAAGTCATCTGTAAGTATTTTAATCCCTTCTTTTCTGCTCCATGGCTGCTGTGGGGCTGCACTTCACACTCAGACAGCCCATTGACCCCTCTGCCTATTTCCTGATTTCTGAGTGGACCACCTCATTGCACATTGAAATCAAATGCCTGCTGCTGTGGCTGTCAGTGGCAGCCAGAAGCTCTGGGCCCTGAGATGCTTAGAGCTCTCTAGTCTGGACCCCAGGGGCTGGGCTGGCCCGCTGTCTTCTTCCGCTACCCTAGGTTCAATATTCTCTCTCTCTGTCTCTTTCTCTCTCTCCGAAGAGGACTTCAAGATAGTTCCCTTATCTACATTCTTGGAGACATTTTCAACCTTTTACAGGGGGAGGGGAGGTGGGGAGGACAAGGAAATGCCCCCTTCCTCTCCCAGGACACCTCAGCATTCTAAGAAAGAGGGGTGGACTCATTTTTTAATGAAGTGATGGTGTTCTAGGAATGAAGATGTCCTCACTGTTCTCATCGTTGGAATTTGCAGAAATATAAAAGGACAGGGCTGCATGGGCCCATGCCAGCTTTCTCTTCATCAAAGCTGTGGCCCAGGTGGAGGGGCTAGGGATACATACTCCTAAAAAAAAAGGCCTGAGTATCTCCCAGCAGTCCATTGAAGATGTTCTTAACCCTTCCATGAACTAGCCTTTAGGTTAGCCTCATTTACACTTTTGATGATGCAGGGTCTGGATCATGACAGTCAATGGGACAGAGTCCTGCTTTTGCCACATGAGCTGAAAGAGGGCTTCATTCCCATCAGATTTAGAAAAAATAATCTCTCGCTCTCATCATTTTCTATTTCAAGCAACTGCAGATGAGGCAGTTTTGGAGGCAGCTCAAAAGGCTCAGGTACTGGGGTTGCATCCAAGTGTCAGCTCTGGGGGAGCTGATCACCGGCTGAGCTTAGTGTAGAAGGGCCAGCTGGGTGGGGTGATGGGAGGGGCAGTGCGGGGACCTGAGGTAGGGAGGGGGAAGGTGACACTGGGAAACCTGGATTCCTGCCTTGTGCTCCCAAGCAAGTCACTCCCCATCCCCACTTCACCTTGGTTTCCTCCTCTGCTGAATGAGGTGCTGGCACCGATTCCTGGGAAACTCACCTGTGGATGTGCACATGTGCATGCGTCCGTGCATGTGCTTCCCTGGCCATGCTGTGCAGATACAGTGTAAACAGGTTCTGAGTGTGTGAAGACAGGTTGTGCCAGGGCAGACTCACCTTTATGCGGTATAGAGGAACCAGGAACTTGCCTCCCCTCTGAGGCCAGACATAGGACCCCAGGAGATCAGAGCTACAAAGCCCTATCTTCTGATTATGGGGAAATAGAGCCCAGAGTAGGTAGGGGTTCAGTTCAGGGCTTAGGTCACCTGGTCACTGCTGCCCCTGAGGTTAAGAGTAGCTCTGATTTTAAAGGGTCAAACCCAAGGTCCCTCCCTGCACCTGTGTGGGAAGGAGTTTATTAGATTTCTGGGCAGCAGGGGGCATGAGGGGAGACATACTATTGGCAAGGAGTCATCCTTACCATTTTGTGATTGTACCTACAGTTTTATAGTTAATAAACCCAGGCACTTATGTGGTCATGTTTCACCCCACAAAAATCACAGAGAGACCTGTAGGGATGCTCACTCAGCCTTTGACAGAGGAAAACCTGGGGTTATATAACTTAAGTTATTTAAATATGAAGAGGAATCAAGACTAATATACAATTTAAAATGAGACACACTGTAGTTCACAGAAGGATACATTTTTGATGCTTACAACTGTCTAAGAGAGCAATAGCCTGCTTTGTTTAGTGGTGAGTTCCTTGTCCTTAGGGGTATGTAAGCAGTGTCTGGGTATCTGCCTACTAGGGTTACTGTGATGGGTGTTCACCCATTAGACATGGCTAGAGGACCTACAAAGCGTCCAGGATCTGGACCTGGGAGAGGTTAGGGAGAAAGCAGATGGGGCATACCTGCGTTTCTCGTTCCAGGCATTGTACCACTTGATGAACCTCTTGGTGCTCTGCAGCTTGGGGTGCAGGCAGTGCTCCTGACCCCGGTACCTGGACACACTTTTGGTGGTGATGCTGAAATGGAGTGGGATAGGGTAGAGAATTAAGGAACCTGAATGATAGGCCCTCAGTGTGGCCCATGGGTGGCCCTGGTCTGTCCCAATCAGGGCTCCTTTCAAGGGAGCCTACCCACCCATATGTTCACTCCCTGGCCAGCTCTTTGGTTGTCCCTTTAATCTCTCACTCCATGTTAGGTTCTAAACTTGTACTGAGTGATCGGTTTTCACCCTGGGAGCCATCAGATTCTGGAATAGTGTCTCCCTACCTCCCCCACCCTCCACTGCCCTTCACCTCCACCCCCACCCCCATTCAGGGTGTCTACAGGGCTCAAGCCTCCCTTGGGGAACAAAGGTTAGAGGACTCTTCCAGCTCCTCTGAACCTGGGGTTGAGAGGTGGAGAGAGCTAATGCTAGCAAGGTGTGCATAACAAGGCCTCTCTTTTCTTGGGTTTCAGTTGCTCTACACAGAGCTTGGGCATGTTCTGCACATACCGTGGTCTCTATCTGATCCTTCAAACTCCTGCTCTCCCCAACCCCCTGTAGATTATCTCACGGCTGCTGATCCTGAAGCTAAGTCTTGTTGGCCTTGAAGCCTATTGTTGTTCCTGAGCTTGATGTCCCAGCTGTCTCACCCTTTGGCAAAAAAATAAGACATCTCTTCAGGCTTCTATCAGCCAATGGAGGCCTAGCCATGCTGTAGAGAAGCAGGTGGTTTTGTATAGAGGGTAGGGCTTGGGTTTGAATCCCAGGTCTGTCTGTGGGACCTTGAGTAATCTTTCTGATTCCAGCTTGCCTATCTGTAAAATGGGTATAATAGTAGGACCTACCTTTTAGGGTTACTGGGATGACTAAAGGATATAATCTATACAATGTGCCTAGCACCTGGTAATACACAATGAATAGTTATTGTTATTAGTAATTGTCATGGAAGATAAGTTGGTCATGGAGAAAAGCCTTAGTGTGTGAGTTTTAGCCTGGAGGTAGAGACAAGACTGCTGCCAAACTGCTGTGCCCCTCTCATCCAGGGCTGGGCCATGATGGCAGGGTTTAGGTGGAAGCTTCTGGGTAGGGGAGGAAGGATGGTGTTCAAGAATTAGGGACCACCTAGGGGACATGGGAAAATGGAAGGGGAGAGATGAGGCTATCACTCCCTGAGAGATCACAGCAAGAGCAAGGTATGGAGAGGACTGGGGTGCTGGGAAATGGAGGTGGTGTGGGGAAGAGTGGTGGTTGGAGGTCTGAGTGGGAAGAGTGGGAAGGGAGGGAGACAGATCAGTTAGCCCCCTGCAGGTTCCCAAAGATAAATGGTTGGGGCTCATGGGCCAAGTTCTAGAAGAGATCAGAGTCTCTATGAACTCTTGAGTCTCCCAACTGACCAACTTATGGGAGAGGAAGTTGAATCTTGCCGCCAGAATGGGGGCAGAGTATTTGTGGATAACCTGTTCTCTCCTCGCTCCTGTGCTCTGAATTTCCAGGGCCTCCACTACGGCCTAAGCTCCTGGGGCAGAGAGTAGTCTTTCACTGATGCTAGGTGACTGGTCCCTGACTTTACTGGTCCTCTTTATTAGGGACCAGGTCTTGTCCCTCCTTTGAGGTCTGGAGCATGGAGCCAGGCTTAAGAGTAGAGTCTTGTCATTCTCTTCCCCCGTGGTACCTAGACACTCTTAGCCCATGCATTATTCTGTCTGCCTGCAATGCAGCTCTTGCACTTGCAATAAAGGACATGACAAAGCCTGAGAAAACTCCCTCCTCTGTTAGGTCAGTGTGCAGGCTGAGAATCCCAAGTCTGGAGACCCGAAGGTCAGGGAGCAGGAGAGGATGCTCAGCAAATGCTCTGTCACACTACTGGGATTATGAAAATTGGTTGTGAAGTGAAGCCGTGAGGATTTCTGCCCCTACCAATTACTCAGAAATTCTGGGTCCTGTGTCCCTCTCCTTAGTGCCACAGGGTTTTGGCAAGAGCTCATTGGACATACAACACAAATTGCTCTTTTTAGAATCTGGACTGTCCTGGACCCTTCTGAGTGCAAGGACTCCCACTTGCAAAGCAGATGACTCCCCTCCCACCCATCCGAGATTTCTGGGTGACTCAGGGTGAATTGGAAAACTTGCTTTTGTTCAGCCTGTGTGGCTCAAAACCTGACTTTGGCAAAAAGTGCTTGCCCTTTGTCTGATCTAGAAAGTCTTAGAAGTTTGAGGGGAGAGGACCTCCAGCCCTTCAGGGATGGGGGTTGTTCTAGGTGTGGGATGGAGGTTTAGGAGAGGGTGACTGCATGTGGATCTCCTGAGGCTCCTGCAAGTTTTCATAAGGCTGCATAAAGCCTTCTCATGCACTTGCCTGTCTGTCAATTTCCTCTGTTCTGAAAAGTTTAGCCAGGAAAAAGAACAAGCCTATTTACTGAGCATTTTGTCCTTTTGAGATGTCTCTGCACCCTACACACTACTTCTCCTACCTGCAAGGTCTCAGCAACTGAACTTGGTGTGTGGAGCATTTTCAGTACTTTGAGGACTGCAAACTTAACTTGCAATGTCCCTATCATTTTTTCAGTCCCCAAGCTATGAGCTAGGAGGGGCTTGTAGCACCTCCTTCAGCTCCTGTGACCTCTGACCCCCACGAAAAGGATTTTCTGGCTGTTTTTCTGGACTTGGGTCCATAAGGGAAGGGGTGAGACAAAGGGGCAGGGGCAAGAGGTTAATTTAGGTGTCCAGGAAGGAAGGTAGTGGGGTTTAGCCCAGGCAGTGGTTATCGAATTCCCCTAACTTCAGCCCAACTATACAGCCTCCAGATAGCAGTAGGGGTTGGGGACTGCCTTTGGCAGACACTGTGGCCTTTGGGCCAGTGGGGCCAGTGGCAGAAGGCACTTGCCCAGACTGAGAATAGAGTGTGTCCTGTTTCTGGGGGAGGGGAAGAGGGGCCAATGGTCCATGGCAGATATTTGGTAGCTGCTTTGCCAAGGGCTCCCTTCCTGGCCAAAAGCATATTGACGGGGAAACAGTGGTGCTGGCCTCAAGTGGTTAATTGGGAAGGCAAAGAAGCAAGGAAACTCAGTGTTCTTTCTGCCCCAGTTTCAAAGATACTTCCCACATCCCCACCAGCCACGTGGCACATTAACCCCAGCAGAGCACTTTCCACAGTACTACTCAAGCTCAGGGACCTGCAAGAGTCCAACCTATGAAGGAAGAGTGAGGGTGATTCTCAAAAAAATTGCTAGAAGCCCAAAACTGGCCGTCTCTAGTTCCCTGATTGGAAAAAGGCTCTGAAAGGAGGGTCTGACTTTAATCCTTCCTCCAGTAACAGGAAAGCAGCACACCTCACAGTTTGCATTCAAATTCAATAGGTCTGGGTGAGCTTTTAGTGCTTTCAATCTGGGTGTTCTAAGTTGGCACACGGAAGCTGTTTAACCCTTCATCACCCTGGAAAGGTGGGCCGTGCAAACACAGGGCTGCCCATTTGAATCCTAGCAAGGGTGAACTCCTTGGAGAGGCTGTTTCCGGAGCACAGAACAGTGTCCCTCTTTCCAAACTCTTCCAGACTGTTGCACCAGCATCTTAAGGACTCGCCGGGCAATTACAAAGGCTCTGCCAAGGCCCTGCCAAAGGCAGAGAGAAATGTTTGTTAGCCCGACCCAGCACCAGGTTAAGAGCAGCACGCACACGCTTGCCGCGGGAACTCACATAACCATCTTCTCCTCGCAGTGCGGGTACTTTGGCTTCATCTCCAGTTTCTTCACGTCGCTGTAGCGGATCTTGGGCCCCTTCCGGGAGCACTTGCATTTGGACCCTGCCAAAGAACGCGCAGGGGCCGCTCAGTTGCGGGCGAGGTCTCCTGGTGTCCACTTAGAACCCCCGGGGTCTCAGGAAGCCTAGAATTTGGTATTTGGGTTCCCCAGGATGGGACCAGACGGCGACAAAGGGCCTCCTGGGCACTCACCGTCCACGCCCGCAGCGCACAGCGCCAGGAGCAGCAGAAGCAGAGCGGCAGTCAGGAGCCTCATGCTGGCCAGAGGGGCGCGGTGCCGGAGCTGGGACAAGGGGAGGACGCCCTCCGGTCCGGAGACACCCCGGGCTCCGGTTTCTCTCTCCGGAGTGTGCCTCCTGGCACCTCTCGAACCGCTGCTGCGTCCGTCGGTGGATGGCTCACAACTGTCGCTCTCTGCTTGGGGCTCAGCGCTCGCTCACTCTACAGCCTCCCTCCGCCCGCCCAGGCTTCTTTTAAATCCGCTCCTGCCCTCGCTGAGAGTGAGCTCATTAATATGCAGAACCACTCGGTGACTCACAGAGATTTCTCAACACGGTGTGGGGAGGAGACCATCCCAGCCCGCCCCAACCTTGATGCACTCCCAGCTACTCGCACACACATTCACACACTCATTCACTACCCTCTCTCCCCCACACACTCTCCTAAATGCACTTGCACACCCAGACTCCAGCATGCGCACACAGCCAATGCCCTGGCTCCACTGGAGAGTCGAGGGGCTGCTTAAGGGCACTGCTTTTCTGATTCTGGTGGTTCCCTCTGGCCAGAGGGACCAGCTCTTCTGAGTCGCTGTGGGACCCAGGTCTGTGGCCCAGATCTTCTGAGAAGAACTGAAATGGTTATGGGGCAGGTGCCAGGTGTGAGTGCCAGCAGACCTGACTCCTAGGGTGTGAGCAGTCCCTGTTGGGCTAGCAACCCTGGTGTTCAGAGCACAAGGCCTGGTCTGGAGGGAGGTTGCCATAGGTTGGTTGTACAGCAGCAAAGCCATCACCTGTGGTCACTGGAGCTGGCTCAAAGAGTATATATGTGGGGAGGTTTGGTCACTCTTAGAGGAAGGCTTCCTAAAATGGGTATATGGCCCCTGGCTGTGCCAGCTGTGTGGGGTGGGGAGAACCAGGCAGGGGTTCCTCACTGTCACACCATTCTTCCAAAGCTATGCAGAGGCCCAGTAGGGAGATATGACAATGATAACCATCTGGATGAAGTCCGTGTTCCAGACATCATACCAGGCTGTGTAGTGTATTGGTGGGGGTCCAGGCATGGTGACAGCAGTTTCTGTTGCACTATTTACCAGTGCAACTGAATTCACCACTATAAGCCTTCATTTCATCATCTGGAAAGTACGAGTAGTCACAGTGCCTATCATAGGGCAGCACCGATAGCTATATAAGATCAGACATATAAAATGTTTAACAGGCCCTGGCCAGTTTGGCTCAGTGGTTACAGCGTCAACCTGCGGTCCAGAGAGACCCAGGTTCAGTTCCCACTAAGGGCACGTAGGGCACGTAGGTTGCAGTTTGTCCTCAGCCCTGGTTGGGTTGTGCATGCAAGAGGCAGCCACTCTGTGTGTCTCTTTCACGTCGATGTTTCTCTTTCTCTCTCTCCCTCCCACTCTACTTGAACAAAAAATGGAAAAATGCCCTCGGGTGAGGATTAAAAAAAGTGCAAGAAAAAAAATAAAGTGTTTAACAGAATGCCTGGTCAGTATTTGGTACTCTGGAGATGTTACTTATTGGATTCATTATTATATACATATATCTTTTATTTTGATTCTTACAAGTCCTCTTCCAAGTTGGTATTTTAATTGTTTATTTGACAGGCATGGAAACAGGCTCAGAGAGAAGAAATAACTTGCCCAAGATCACACAGTTAGGAAGCAGGTAGCTAGGCCAGGAAGGACTCCAGTGTATGTGGTTGCAGAACTGGAGTTCTGTCCCTGGGCCACCCTACTTCCCTCAGGCATCTTGCAAAGTGCTTCTTTGACAGACCCAGCAACAGGATGCCGAGGGTCTCTGGGCCTGGCTCCCAGGCAAAAGCTGGAGCCAGGGCAGAAAATGCCGGGCTCTTCCAGTTCACACAGCTCTGTGCTCTCAGCCCAGCAACTTCCTGAGGGCAAAAGTGTTCAGAGGAGATGCTGGGGGGATGGGATGGGGTAGGATAGGCAGGCTGATGAGGGGCAGAGTAGGAAGAATCTGTGTTGTCTCTTTCCAGTTGGGTAACCTTGTCTGCCTTGAGGGGAAGCTGAACCATGAAGAGTCAACAGTGCCTGTGAGCTGGCTTCAGGCCGTGTCCTGAGTCCTATGTGAGCAGTTCTGTACCTATACTTAAAGCAAGGCCAACAACTGGACACTTAGGTTTATACGGAGGATAAGTGCAGGTGACTGATTTTTGGCATTTATTGTTCATTTAAAAATATTTTTATTGATTTTTAAAGAGAGAGGAAGGGAGAGGAGAGAGAGAGAAACATTGGTGTGAGAGATAAACATCAATCGGCTACCTCCTATACACCCCTCACTGAGGACTAATCCTATAACCTGGGCGTGTTCCCTGACCAGGAATCAAACCAGCAACCTCTCTGTGCATGGGACGATATCCATCCAATGGAACCATACTATCCAGGGCCATTTATATTAATTTTTTAAATTAAAAATTATTATTTATTATTATTATTATTTGGTATGTTCCCCTAGCGGGAACCGAACCTGGGACTCTCTGGTCCGCAGGCCGATGCTCCAACCACTGAGCCAAACCGGCCAGGGCTAAAGTAATTTTTTCTTAATACAAAACCAGCATGTTTGTTATCAGAAAACACAAGCAGAAGAAAACACACACACACACACACACACACACACACACACTTCCACCTACTCAGCAATCTACACCAAGATGCTACAGTGGTATCTTTTCAAACCCTTCTCTCTTTGCTTGCATGCTCGTACACAAACGAGATCAGTGCGTGTTCTGTTTAATAACCTGCTTGTTTTACCTGTCACTATATCATCAACTTGTTCCACCTGACTAGTTTTGCTTCTGTGATATCTCTTTTAATGGCATCATTTGAGGGCCGGATAGTGTAATGGCTAAAACTTGGTGTCTGGAGTCAGACTGCCTGAGTGCGAATCCTACCGACTGGCTGTGTGACCTTTGTTTACGACTTAACTCTTAGGTATTGATTTTCTTATCTGTGAGATGGGGATGATAATGGCACCTACAGCATTGGGAGAATTAAATGAGATGGTGCATGTGAAGCTTGTAACTTGGTCCCTAGCAGAATAAATGCTCAATAAGTGCCAAGTATTGTTAATTTCGGATAAGCACATTCCATTGTACAGATGTCCCATAATTACTTTACTCCCTGATGGATATTTGGATTGTTTTCAAGGATATTCTCTTACAAACATTGCTGTATAACAAGTATTCTTGGAGTTTAATTTTGGGGCAGCCCTCTCTAATAATTGGATTATGTCTCAGAAATAGACTTACTGGGCCATGGGCATGCTTATTTTAAGGCTTTTAATGCAAATTGCTCCCCCCAATTTTTATTCTATAAAAAGTATTTTTGTAGCTACCAAGCTTTTACAAAACATGTGAAATTTGATTTTTTAAAATTAAAAATGTTATGTCTATCATTTATTTCAAGAATATGCTCATTAATTAAGTGGGATCTAACAGCACTAGGGATCATGGGCATGGTGCTTTTTTTTTTTAAATAGGGAAAAGTAGTTGGCCCTAAAAATATAGACCAAAGTTTCCCAACTTCCCTGGCCAGACCAGAGATCAGACATTCCATTATTTTGTTCTCACTGCTTACTCTATGTATGCTCATCTTTGGTTTGCAAAATACAACCATTGTGTCTTGTCAAACAGAGCTCACCCCTGTTTATGTGAGCAGTTCTGGATCCATGGGTACAAGAGAGGATGGATGGAAGGCCTTTGCTGCCAGTGGGTCTGTGGGTGATGCTTAACCCAGAGACAGGGAGCGGCTTGACTCCTGACATGCCTTCAGTGTACAGACTCTCCACTGAGCTTCAGCTGGGGTCTTTGAATAGATAGAGGAGGCAGGGTAAGGGTAGACATGGGTGAGGCACTTCTTTGTATAGTGGCACTGCCTGATTCAAGGGGTTCCCTGTGATGTAGTGAAGGAGCACACACATGCTATGCCTTCTGGAGTGCATTCTAGTGTGTGTGTGTGTGTGTGTGTGTGTGTGTGTGTGTAGCTATTAATGATCATGCTGGGTTCTCTGGGAGGGTCGGATACAAGGTATGAGGGACACAGAGGTGGGAGGAAGTGGAAGCAGGAAACTATTCCTTGAGGGAGTGGAAAATTGGCTGAGACCCTGGGGATTTGCTTATTTATTTCGTTCACATTGTTTTAGCACCCACTGCATGCCAGGCTCTCAGCAAGGTGCTGGAGGTATAAGGGTGTGCCTGTCCCTAAGGAGCACAGAGTCTAGTGGAGAAGACAGACATTAATCAAATAATCAGAGATACACAGGAACTTGCCTTAGAGCTAGGTATGATGAAGGGAAACTGATGCTATGAGACTAACTAAGTATCTGACCAGGCAGGGAGGTAGGGACAGCATCCCAGAGAAAGTGCCCACTGGTTTGGTATCTGAAGGATGAGAAGGAATTAACTAGGTGACAATGAGAGGAAGGCTATTCCTGCCCCTTTACGGTCCTTGCTCCTCACACAATGACCTCCTGGGGATAAGCCCTTGCTAAAAGCCCTGCTGGCTCCTGCTCTCACCCAGAGTAAAACCCAAGTCCCCAGCAGTGCCCATAGGCCCCTCCCCCCTGGTGACCAGCATCTACCACTTTTCCCATGCCTGTGCTCTAGCACATTGTGTTGTCTTATCACTCAGACATGCTAACCCATGCCCATCTCGGGATCTTTGTGCTCACTGACTTCTCTTCCCCAACTGTTCTTCCCCAGATGTTGGCAGGTGGCCCTCTTCTCCTTACAGAAGCCTCAGCTGGAATATTTACTCTTCAGACTCAATCACACTGTCCCACCTTCCTCCCACTGCCAGCAGTTACTCTCTGTGCTATTGACTTACTTTACTTTCTACATTATACCTACAACAGCCTCATATTGTACTGTTTTCGTGTTTATTTTGTAGTGTATTATGGGTCATTCTGTGGTTTGTTGGTTCTATGAAGGTAGGGTCTGTGTCTTTCTTGTTCATTCTCAGTGCTTACAGCAGTGCTTGGATCATATAGTAGGGACTCATTTTGAGTAAACAAAGGTATATTTCAGGCAAATGCACAGGGAAGTGAGAGAGTACTGCCAAATTCAGATTGTGTAGACTACAAGTGTGTGTGTGTGTGTGTGTGTGTGTGTGTGTGTGTGTGTAGGGGGTGGGTAAGGGAGCCCATTGGTGAAGCCATGTTCCCAAGAAAGCCAGTTCCTCCCCAGGGTGTATGCTTTAGAAAAGA